CGCAGCTGATGAAGGAGTCAGAAATGGTAAGTGATGCAACTCGAGGGAAAAGTCTGGCTTTTTAGATCATCTCCCAGCTGAACGAGCAGGAGATCCTGGAGTTCAAGGACGCTTTTCTGCTGTTTGACAAGGTGAGTTGAGAATTTAGGTTTTTTAGCACGGCCTATTCGCTTAGGACGGCGATGGGACAATTTCCATCGAGGAACTTGGCCCGGCGATGCGCGCCCTAGGCCAGAACCCGACCGAACAGGTTGGTCAAGCAGTTCAAGAGCAAAGTTTTAGAGCTGGTTAGGCAAATTTTCTGGTTCTATGCTGTTATCGGGGGTTCGGGCTTATGAAATATCTAGCTTTTTCACATTTAAAGTTTCAAATTCAAGAACAGGCTAAATTTTTCGAAAAAAGAATTTTGATTTTTCGATTTTTGCTAGCTGTAGGTATAGGCTAGACATCCCCCGCTAACAGGAAAGAACCAATTTTTCAGCAAATGGCCGAGATCATCTACGACGTCGACATTGACGGCAACGGCCAGGTGGAATTCCCCGAGTTTTGCGTGATGATGAAGAAAATTATGAAGGTGGGTGGGGAGAAGCAGATTTTTCTGAATGGCTAAAGCACGGTTGCGTCGCCAATTATTGTACCACCCTGAAATGTCGCGACAAAATTGCGGGTTTAGAAAACGTTAACGGGCGGCTTCGAGCTGTTCAGGGCTGTATAATTTGGCGGTACGACGGCAAAATGGTAATTATCGAAGCTGGGCGGCAGTTGGCCGAATAGTTTGCAGTGATTCTTACAGGGTATCAACCAAGGCGCTTTTTCAAGCGAACTTGGAGTTTCTTCAAAATGGCCATTTAGCGTTTTTGAAAATGTTTCGAAATCGGGCTAAAATTCTGCACCAAAAGGGTTCTAGACCCAATTCAAAATAAAAGGTCACCTTTAGGTGAATTTTTGGGCACTGTGAAACAGGAAAATGGAGAAAATCTCGAAAAAAAAACTGCTTTTGATAGCGCTTTGCGGTGGGGATTTTCCGGAAGGCCATGACGGCAATGGGTGATGAACTTTGCTAGGCTTTTATAAGAGCCTTATATTGCAGCGGCCGGCGAAAAAGATCGAGAAAAATGACGGCGTGATCGCGGGATGGTAATTTGGTGGGGATAATCCCGACAAGGGCCGATGATAAATAGACGAAAATTTGTCACGATCGGCACCCTCGCAAAAGCGTAGACTAGCGTTACTTACCTGCGTTACTTGCAGGGAATATAGCTGGTTTTCAGGGGTAGGTAAAGTAATTGGAAGCGCCGATAAGGCCCAAAAATACCGATTTTTCTACCAAAATGTCGAATTTTCAATTTTTTGAGAGTTTTAGATAGTTTTACCGCTTGAAATATAGCTAGATTTTACTAAAAATCCAATTCAAATACCTGATATTACGTTATTAGGCATTTCCGGATCTATATCAACCTCCTACCCGATAGTGCAAAAGCTCCAAAAGTTTCATGATCCAAAATTTAAGGTTAAATTAAATGGTGTTTGTTATGTGCCCCATTACAATTGCCAGAAAAAGTCATAGAAAAAATTGCTAAAAGGCATAAAATGATCCTCTAAAATTTCAATTTCATAAAAAAGCCTATTTCCAACGTCAATTTGCAGGAAACCGACTCCGAAATGATCCGCGAGGCGTTCCGCGTCTTCGACAAGGACGGCAACGGGGTCATCACGTCCAGCGAGTTCAAATATTTCATGGTAAGTACCGAAAAATGGTCCCAAAAAAACCCCCGACTGCATAGCACGCGCGATAAATAAGAGCAGGACATCGGTGGTGCAAGGGAGGCTGCGCACAAAGCCAATTCTCTTCCCCCATCTACGCTTGATTTTATTAGGGGGTGGTATCGGGGGGCGAGAATTGAGTGCTGGGGAGAAGGGCCCGGGGCTAATGTCCCGCGGGCCAAGGAAAAGCTAATCAGGCATAAACTACACGGAAATCGGCTGGATTTGCATTTTCTGGCTTACTTTAAGGGGACGGTTTTGCCTAAAACAAGCGATTCCTGCCAAAATGCGCTGACGCACAAGGTAAATGTGTGCAGAGTAGCGCCTCGTAGCCGAATTTCGGACCTTCGCTGGACGCGCTCACCTTTAAAAAGGATTCTCAATCTCTGAAGCTTTCCGGGGACGAAGTCTGACGCAACTTTAAACCCGAATTTTAACTTTAAAGCGATGGCTTTGCTAAAACAGAAGCTAATTGGGGAATTGCAGCTGTTGCACAACGTGAAACTGTGCAGAGTAGCGCCTCGTACTCGTACGCGGTGCTCCATTGGCCACGCTCAACTGCGCTATCTGTAAATTGTACCGATTCCGGAAACTAATCGCTATGAGCTCGGGGTATAGCGTGTTAATTGGGGCAACGCGTTGCCAGGACTGAACTACGTAAGGCTACTTTCAACCTACTTCGTTGAAAGTAGCATTGCGTAGCTAGTGAGCTACACAGCAACACTACTTCAGAACGCACCGATTTCATGCACGAATAGCATTTTCGGGAGAGCGTTCGCAAAAGTGTTTTTGTTGACCCTCGTGCACTGATGCTCCAAATTTTGCCCAGAACTAGGCCCCAGTTGCGCGCTGCCACCTCGGGCATACCAAATGGGGGACCCACTTTTGGTCCCGAAACGATGCGCCGAAAATGACATGTGTTTGAGAAAGTTTTTCCAATGAATTCTACCACGAGGCTAGGGTTTTTGAAACTGGTATGCAAATGCGAGTTTACCCTAAAGGGAGTAGAAGCTGGGCTTTCGGGTTGCGGTAGGTTGGGCGCGGATTAGGAGGCGCCAAGTTTTTGCTTTAGCATCCAATTTTTCTAAAGTATTATATTTCTAAATTGAGGAAATATTTTTCAACAGTTTTCTTTACTCTTCCTAAGCCCAAAACCTTGATAAATTTAAAAACATCGATTTTTCGATCAAAATGCCGATTTTTTAAAGCATAATATAAATAAAATTAGATATTTTTAGTGGCAGAACCCTGATAAATATTTAATAGCTAACAAAATAAGACATGTCCAGTATTAATTTAAGATTGGATCAGAGCATATTTTATAGACAAAAAAAACTATATCAGCGTTCAAACTTTATAGATAAAGATAAGAGAAAACTAGATAAATTACATACTTTATAGTAACTAGTGAATATGTGCCCTGAACTTACTGTGCCCCAATATATATCAATTGCCAGACGATGCGGAAGTTAATCTAGTGCAGATTAGGGCCCCAGCCGGGATGGGCAAGCCGAGCTTATCCTGCCTTTTATTAAAGCGGTAGCATGCTACCGTAAGACTACCGTAAGACGGACAGCGCTATAGGTATCCAAGAGTTCAATGAGCTCACAGCCACGCCGGCGCCGCCTTATGAAGTCCGGCCCGGTGACACGTAGTAATCGAATTTTCGCGGAAAACGATAATAAGCAGCGGGTCTGGAATCATGGGTCTAGCGTGTTGTAGCGGAGCTTAATGGAATAATCCGTTGACGTGGGCACCGAGGAGAGTCATTTAGCCAGAGATCCAGCTACTATTACGGTGCACGGAAGTGGATGTTGTGTGAACTTTTTAAAGGGGCTAGGAAGTTTCAACCTTGTAGCGTTGATTCCTGGAAAACAGCCAGATACGGCCGCAACGCGGCCGCGACCCAGTTCTTTAGCCCCTTTTGGAAGGCTAAGCCAAGATTTCGTTCATTCGAGCGCATTACGAGATGTAATTTGCGGCGCGTTGCGTGTTGCGGGTGCTCGAAATTTCCTATAGGAACCGGCCAGCATAATCCATCATGCTACCTTGCTCGCTCCTTTAAAAAACGTATTTAGAGGGGGATAAAACGCATGAAAATGGACTCCTTAAGTCGGCTAGGTATCGACAAGTACGTAATAGGCCGCGAAACCGCATTTAGACTCGTTCAAAAATTTCAGGACCCTGGTGTTTATTGGAAGGAAATTAGCGTCTTTAGCGGCCGAACGTAGCTGTAGAGACCTAGCGAAACCATGGGTCGATTTTGACGTTCCCTGATTTCCTTAACTAGACTGGGCAAACTTTCTAAAGGGATATGGGTGGTTTGGCAAACATTGCGAACCGGATTTCGCCGGCTGGACGAATCGCCGGCGAAATATAATAGCCTGATTCACACCGGGTTTCCACCCCGATTCTAAAGCCGATGGGAAGAAAAGGATCTGCCAAAAAATGCGTCATTTTCCAGAAATGAGTCGGATTTGTGGGGAAAGAAAAGAAGTGAGGCTGGCCAGCTAGCAGAGTTTTGCTTTCGGAAAGATTTGTACCAATTCCAGATCAACATGGGGATGATGTTCAGCGAGGAAGAGGTGGATGACATCCTCAAGGACGTCGATGGAAATGGTTAGTTTTGGAAAAACGCCTGGAAATTGCGCTTTTAACGTTAATACCTGGAAAAAAAAACACCAATTCCCGCCTTTTTACCAACCTTAAATGTAAAAACTTTCGAATGCTTGATTGACAAATTTTAGCGAATATATGATAAAAAAGTCCAGTTTTCGAACAAAATTTCAAAATCTAGTTTTTAAGATATTTTTCTACTTCAAAGATTGTGAAATTTTACTCAAAACACTGACTATTGCGCTACTAGGCATCTCTGGAGACCCAGGAAAAAAATTAGGCCCCCCCGATAACGCGAAAGAACCGTAATACATAAAACGAATTTCGGCGTAATGGAATGTGCAAAATGAATTTTCGACCCCCCCCCCCCCCCCCCCCCCCCCCAAAAAAACCCCCCCTAAAAACCGTTAGTAAATCCCAGAAATTTTGCATTTCCCAGGAAACGGCGAGATCGACTACGAGGAGTTCGTGCAGATGATGGGCGAATTCTAAACCGCGCGCCCAGCGCTACCGTATTGCCCTTGGATCTCCTGGAAACAATGGTGTCTGTGCCTGTACTTGACGTGTATCATAGCGTATTCGCGATAAACGGTTTATTTCGATCGCAAATCGGCGGTTTAGTGCTTTGAGGGATGGGCGTAGGTGCTGAAAATGAATAAAGTTACTGGTCGTGTACATTAAATTATACAAGACGCCTGCAAAAGTGGAAAAATGTTTTTAAGATGGTTTAAGTTTGATTTAAGGCAGCCAAAGTTTAAGGAAACAAGCAATCAGCGTTAGAACCATATTTGAACCTAAAAACTAACCGCTCCTCATCCGGCTTATCCTCCTCCTTTGTCGGCGTGTAATCGACGATGCGATACTCTGGGCGACGGATGAACGTATCCCGCTGAGGACATGGACAATATGCCGCATCGACGCCAGGCATTCCAGGGCTTCCGTCTTCTCCATCCTCACCGTCAACCCCACGCAGTCCAGGCTTCCCGGGGAATCCGGCAGGTCCCGGCATTCCGTCCGCACCTATAAACGATAAACCAGCTTACTTCAAAGTCAAATTCACCCACCTTCTTCAGCCTTTCCAAGCGGTCCAGGCGGGCCGGGAGGCCCTTGCTCCCCGCATCGACCTGGGACTCCGCGGGGGCCCTTGCGATATCGCACTCCTTGCTGTCCGTAGGCTCCCGGCAATCCTGGGTGGCCCTCAGGGCCCGTATCACCTCGATCACCACCGGGTCCAGGCTGTCCTGGGCGGCCGGATTTTCCGGGGTTCCCGGCGAATCCAGGCATTCCTGAAAGTAGCAGCTCAAAGTTATACCTACTTACATACCTTTTGGACCGGGCATTCCGGGTAGTCCAGACGGTCCGGGGGGGTCCGGGCGGGCCGGCCGGACAATCGATACATCCACCCGGAGCGTTGTACTCAAGCGACATGCCGGGCCGGCCTGCGGGACCCCGGATTCCGGGCTCTCCGTGGGCTCCAGGGTGTCCGTCCTGGCCGGGAGGACCCGGAGGGCCGGGCGGGCATTGCGATGGCAGGATGCATTCTGGAAATTCGTTGTGATTATTTTACCCCTAAGTTAGTTTTATGAAATTGGATCTGAAAGGAAAAATTACGCGATTCATTATGATTCCGGGCATTCTCTTCATATCGGCCCCTTTTAAATTTGTAACTTTCTAAATGTTCTTTTAGTTTTACTTAGATTAATTCTTTAATTTTAATAAAGCGCTATTTTTGTGCGTTTAGTGAATTTCAACTATATGTTCTCGAAAAACTTTCAAAATAGCTAGAAAAAAAACTTGAAAAACTCATGATTTTCGTCATTTTTCGCCAAAAAATGCTTTTCTCCACAAATTAATTTCTTGATAAAATCTTTCAAGTTTATGTTCTCAGAAATATCAATAGCCACTCATCTTCATCCCTCTAAAAACCTACGACACTGGCTGGGCACGTCCTTCCGGAAGCGCTGCAGCACGGACCGCATCGGGCCATCCTTGGCCGCGCTGCGCCCATCGCGCTTGTAGGGCGCCGCGTTCTCGAGCTGTACGAGCACGGTCCAGGCATCATCCGAGGAAGTCTGTAACGGAGGCGGAGATTAACTTCCCGGTGCTGCCTACCTTTAACGTGCCCATTTCAAACATGCTGTCCTCGTGGAACTCTTTGATGTCGCTCATAATGCTGTTGGCAAAGCCCTAAAGCATGCTTGAGGATTATGATGGCTCAAAAATCGCGGGGCTAGCCATTTGCTTGTGTTCAAATTTCTGCAGTTTTCTTTCTGCGCTAGTTTTTGACCTATGGCCCCGAAATGAGCTTGACACCTCTAAACTTTCGTTTCCATCTCACCAAGCAGAAACATATGGCCAGCGTGGAGATGGTTATCGAGGCATAAGTGGCTATTGTGGCCCCGTCGGCCATCGCTGAAAATGAAATGTACGAAAATTAACTTCAAAAATATAACGTAAAGTAAAAAAAAGAGAGGACATCGGCTAAGAAGCCGAGGGGAACGGCACCGAAATTGAAATGTCATCCCACAGCGCCTGTGGGGTGGCGGACACCAACGAAAAAGCGGCTAAAAAAACTGAAGCTGCCCTTGGCATCGGCTGCTCCTCCCCAGAAGGGGTTCCCATTAGGGCGTGACGGGCGCGAGGTGTCTGTGCAAATGGAAGGGCGCGGCTTGGGGGATGAAACTCGGGGCGCAGAAGGAGGAGGAGGAGGTAGAGGAGGACAAATGCGGCGAGATGGCAGACGTGGGCGAATACCGGTCGCCCTGATGGAACCGAGGTACCCTTTCGTGAGGGAAGAGCCACACAAAAAACCGCAGCAACCCCCTTTGTCTCGACCGGGGAGTGGAAGCTGGGAACCGTGAGCCCCGCTGAGTTGCTGAGGAGATTCTGGGAAAGAAGATGAAATAGGGAAATTGCTGAGATTGCTATTACATCTTTAACTGATTCAACAACCCAAATTTTCAAAATCTCGACGTAAAGAAAAGCCAGGTAAAGGATGATCAAAACTAAAAAGTTTTTAGGCGGATCCAAGTCGTTTCACCAATGTTGGCCGGTAGCGACCGTTGCAGAACGCCGAATCCCTCTGATCTGGCCAAAAATTTTTCGCCCTATTTTGGTCATAACGTTTGTAGAACGGCTTTGCATTTATATAATCATCATATCGAGAAACTTCGTTTTTTCGTAAGTTTATAAACTTTCTAAATAATTTTTAAATTCATTCGAAGAATTTTTACTTGACAAAGCCTTTTGCTGAAAATTCGTATAACCGCTTCAGACAACGCCACCGAACAGTCCGCGTCAAATATGTGGAATACGTAGCATACTACTGTAGAACGCGATAGTACAGCATCGGTCATTTATTTGCTTTTTTTGGTCCTTTTTCTTCCATACCTGTACCCTTTATGCGAAAAAACTATATTACTTTTTCAGGTGAGCGGCGGTTGTTGCGCTCGACAATGAGCGCTGCCCCGGCCATTTCGAAGGACTTCATGGTGGCGAACAAGTACAAGCTCATCCGGAAGATCGGTTCCGGCTCCTTTGGCGACATCTACGCGGGCATCAATGTGTCAAATGGCGAGGAGGTGGCCTGCAAGTTGGAGTATACCAGCGCCCGTCACCCGCAGCTTCTCTACGAGTCCAAGGTCTACAAGATACTCCAAGGCGGCGTCGGCATCCCGCACATCCGATATTATGGCGTCGAGGGACAGCACAACTGCCTCGTCATGGACCTTCTTGGCCCGTCGCTTGAAGATCTCTTCAACTCCTGCAGCCGTCGCTTCACGATGAAAACTGTCCTGATGCTCGCGGATCAAATGATCGGCCGCATCGAATACGTGCACGTCAAGAACTTTATTCACCGCGACATCAAGCCCGACAACTTCTTGATGGGCATAGGACGGCACTGCAATAAGCTTTTCATCATTGATCTCGGCCTCGCGAAGAAATATCGTGACACTCGTACCCGCTGTCACATTGGATACCGTGAGGACAAGAGCTTGACGGGAACCGCTCGCTATGCGTCCATCAATGCTCACCTCGGCTTTGAGGAAAGCCGCCGAGACGACATGGAGTCGTTGGGCTACGTGCTGATGTACTTCAACCGTGGAACCCTACCATGGCAAGGGCTTAAAGCAGCGAATAAGAAGCAGAAGTATGACAAGATCTCCGAAAAGAAAATGTCAACTCCGGTGGAAACCTTGTGCAAGGGATTTCCTGCCGAGTTCACGATGTATCTGAACTACTGCCGTGGACTTCGTTTCGATGAGGCTCCCGATTACATGTATCTCCGGCAGCTGTTCCGCATCCTCTTCCGGACGTTGAACCATCAATACGACTACACGTTTGACTGGACCGTGATCAAGCAGAAGCAACAGGCTCGGGAGAGCGCTGCTCAGCGCGCTCCGCAGATGGCAGCCGGACCTGGACCAAGCGCATAAGCCGAACCCTTTGCCTATGATATTTATTTTCAAACTCATTTGGGAAGCCGTATTTGTGATTGGTTCAGGAATTTTGTACATCATATTCTACGACTTTTTTGTTTAGAACTGAAGCATTGGCGAATAAAATGAATAACAGGGAAATTGCCATTGTTACCATCAGCATTGCGCAAAAGGCAACATATTCTTACCGAGATTGCATACCCACAGTGATGACAAGTCTTTTGTTCAGCTGCTCGCGCTTCAAATTGGTTTCGCGGTGTGGCAACGCTCAAAATACGCGTTGTCCATCGGCACTCAGCATCCTCACACAGATCGGGTTTCAGCTGGGCTACTCCCGTAGGGCCTCCCTGGGGCATTTGCGAAAACACCTTGGGTCCATTCCCCATCGGCTTGTATTTATTTAGCATTGGCTTTTTGGGGAAGTAGCAGCTGGGGAAATTCTTCACTTCCCGCGCCTCCAAAACACACAGAATTATCATAAGTAAACAATCGTGCGGGTCTCGCACCTAGCAGGAACCGGTGATGGCCAGGGATAGGGCTACAGTTTTTCCAGATTTTCTTGATGTCTCTGTGGCAATTCTTTTCAGTTTACTCGTAGTCTAGTAGACCCACATTTTTGCGTCTGAACTAAAACTCTAAACTGATGTGACGCTGCGCGTAAAGCCGTTATTCATCGGCAATGCTGTGCGCTTTTTTGGTCGAATTCCACGCTGCTGTGATGTTTTGTCTCGAAACGGCGCCATAACTTTGACTAAACTGCAGCGGCGCAAAAACATTGCCACATTGCCTTTCGATTCGCAAAAATCTTAACAGACGCTCTCGGTCGGCTGCTTAGATTATGATAGTGTCGGGGGGAAAAGTGTGGCGCGTGGGCTCAGGTCGACAGGGTGGCTTTTGGGAGCGAAGAGGGTGGCAAGGCCGTTTAGAACTGGTCTGGGGAGAGGCGAGGGTGCTGCCCTCTTGTCCAGTCTTGTCCTGCGCCCCGCCGCTTCCTCGCACTTATGCTCCATATCATACGGTCCAGGGCCGACTATCGATCAAAATTTGGCACTTTAATCTAATTTCACAATTATATTTTTCAAAATCGTTGTTTTGAGCGCTGGAGAGCCTTGTGCTCGAGCCCAAATGCTAACTGATCCCTAGTGACGGTTTTATTATTTGCTTCCTGACGACATTCTCCAAATTTAGCAATCTATGAATATTGTTTGCATTATCGCTAGTAGGGGGGAAGGGGTTCTAATGGGCTTTTGCCTTTGAAAGCGCCTTGAACTTCCAACATTGTACTCATTAGAGGGAGCGGGTTAACGGGTAGTATGAACCGGATGGAGGGCATTGATGTTGGGTTGTGACCAGCCGGGGGAGCCTGGGTCACCTGCCGCTCACAATCAGCCATGGGCCGTCTCGCAAAACGGTGTAAGGACCGCCATTCAGCACACGCATCTGCTTCGCGCTTGACCGGCAAATTTCTAGCTATTATTGATGAGGGGGGCGCGTTGCCAGCCACGTCCTGTTTGATTTCGGCTAATGAAAGTACATATCTACTTCATGCGCTTGTTAATTCAATCTTAAACTTAATACGTTTTGCTGGCTGGCGTCCAAATTCCCGGCTCGGCTCCGGGACAAATCCTTTTTAGGTAGTGTGCGTTGCAGTGCCTAGACGGGCGTCTATTTGCTTGATTGTGTGTGCGCGTGTGTGGTGGCCGAATTTGGGTGTGGGCCGAGGGCCGCCTGCTGGACACTGTCTTGAAACTCGCCACGCACGCTCACATTGATCGCCCCCACAAACACACCCATCTCTACACGCCCGCACCTCAACGGTTCGCCGCGCGCTTTTCGCGCTTTACGTCTCCGTTTGTTAATCGGTGTTCCTCGTCGGAATTACCACAGCGAGCTACGAGTACTCAATTTCGGCCTATTTTTATCAACGACTCGTTTGAGATAATTAGGGATCTCTAGGAACTTTCGAAGGATCCATTGTGCTTTATTGTTATAAATAAAATTCAATGCGTTGGTAACTGTGACCTCCGTATTCCAGCGCTTCTCGTGCGCTGTGCGGTCAACCTTGCCCTGATTGCAGGGGCTGAGACCGCCTTTCTCACGCCCATAGAGCAGCATCTTCCTTCTCAAGATCGTTTTTGGGTTCTTATGCGCTCCGAAACGACATTTTTTTCCTCCGGGGCTTAGAAAAACGCCATGTGTTTCATTTTTGGCCATCGAAAGAACTTGTTTATGCGGAGATTTTGGGGAGAACCCCATTATGAACACACTTGCAATCGTCTTGGCGCCCGTTCAAAGAATTTACACGTTGCCTTTGATGCGGTCTATATAACCAGTATTCCCCTTCTATTGTTTCTTATTTCAAAATTGGCGTGCTCTCAACATTACCATTTTCAGTTAGGGTAGGAGGGCGCTGTTGGGCGCTCCTTATATGAAAACCGAAGATGAGTGTACTCAGGGATATTCTGGAAAAGGTGATAATGATGACGTGCCGCAAAACTTTTCTTTATAGGGCTATGTGGATCCGGAAATCCTGGAAGCCCTAGATGAAGAACAAAAACAAATGCTTTTTATCCAGGTAACTCTTTCGTTATTTTCTCACGACCAGTTTAGATGCGCCAAGAGCAAATGCGAAAATTTGCTGCTTACGAAGAAATGCTTGAGCGCAAGGGCTTGCCGGCGAGGCGCCCCAAAAAGAAGGCCGTCAGGTTGGTTACACCCTTATTCAACCATCATTCGATAGATGGCGAACCGGAACTGACGGAGACGTCTGGGTATGGGTTATGGGCGATCACCCTGATGACAAGACCATTGAACAGATTTTAGAAGAGGTACGTGATTATTTTTCCCTTTGATTCGCTTTTACAGGAAGCACGGCGCGAAGCGAGAGTTCGCGCGCTGCAAGAGCTGGAGCATGAGCACGAAGCTAGTAACAGTATGGAGGAAGCCTTGAAGGCGCAACTTGGCAGTCTGAGGGTCGGCGCTACGGTATGTTTTTCAAATATTTGGAAAATGTGCAATCCTCAGGGTGGCTCAATTTATGAAGAAAGCGACAACAGCTGGGAGGACCAAATCAACGGCAAGCCACCGTTGCTACTTCAACCGCAAACACATGCATCAGTGGTTGGTATTTGATTTTCGAAAAAAATATCCGTTCAGGGTCTTCATATTCGCAACTTCGAGAACAATCAGGCGAATCGCAACACGCCTCCGCAAAAAACGTCGCCAATTCCGAAGCAAAATGGGATTGGTAATGGCGGGCTGACGGCCTCACCACAGAAAGCCGTCGTCACTACATTCAGCACGCCGACTCCACAAGTTGCTGTCATTGGTGCGAAGGGTTGGCTTGAATTTCTGGCCAGTTAAATTTACTTCAGGAACGACGCGCGTCGATCGAGGCCCTCCTCCACCCGTCCCGGCCAGGCCGCCACAGTTCCCATCCGTTACAAAGCCGCCGGCGACTCAGAATGTGCAGGTAATCATTTAAATTCTGGTTTGCAGCTCAATTTTTACTTTAGCCCTTGCCCGTTGCTACCCCGGAAATCCTCGATTTGACCCTACGAACTGCAGAGCAGCAAAACGGGCTTGGTATGCGGTGGTTTAGATTTTTGATTTATTCTGTATTTAGGAGTCAAAATGCGTCAGCAGAAAAACTCCAGCGAAGAAAGTACTCAAGAGGTCCATAAACGAGAATCGGAAATCTTTCAGGTCGGTCGATATCGTGCCTGCTAAAATTCCTTTTTAGACGATCCAGGATAAAAGGGAACAGCTACGTAAGGACGCCGAAATCGAAGCGGAACGCGAAAAGCTTGCCTGGGAGGAACAAGGTTCGCAAAGGATTATGTTCTCCAAGTTTTTTGTAGAAAAACGATCACGTGAGGCGGAAGCTACGATCAAGGCCATCGCGCAGAAAGCGAGGGAGCAGCACCGTCAGCTACTCCGCACCTCAACGTCCATCTTGCCTGCGCTGGCCGATACCAACGCGACAAGTCTTCGCGAGGCTATGTTAGTTAATTTTCAGATTTGTGGTTTTCTTCCATAGGGTTTTAGTTCTTATCCGGCAAGATTGAGAATTTCAGCAAAAACTTACCTCGACCGCCAAGGCCAAAAAATCGTGACGAGATCATCTCATGGTTCAAAAAGAACGAGCTTGGGCGGGGGACCGGCTTCGATCCCAAGACTGGACTCCCTGCTCCATGGTTTCATGGTTCGTTGCTTGGCTCCTGGTTGACCAGACGTTTAGGCATCATTTCCCGTGACGCTGCCGAGCAGCTGTTGGTCGAGAAACCGACCGGCTCGTTCTTGGTCCGTGTCTCGGAGCGAATTTGGGGGTGAGCGCTTAGATGGTCATAAATTCATCCTCTCGTAGATATACCGTCTCTTACGTGGTGGGCAACGGCTCTTGCAAGCATTTCCTGATCGAACGGATAGAGCAAGGCTACCAATTTTTGGGCACCAACCAAATCGTCCACGATTCGCTCTTCGACCTGATCATCTATCACGAGGTGCGTGTTGTTTATTGTTTTCTTTTTGTTTTGCTTCAAACGACTTTCATGCCATCGGTTATATTCGGGATTTATTTAGAAGATATTTTTTACCATCAGCTGCAGTTGATAAACCATTTTTTTCAGTCGGCCCCGATAACTGCGAAGGGAGGCGAGATCCTGAAATGGTCCGTGGGCCAAACAACTCGTCCATTCGACTATGCTGACCTGCTTCCCGAAACGACGAACAACAATGGCGTCCGCAAGCTGAATGGTCGTTTCTAGACCTCCGATTTCACCCACTTGTAACATCTAATCCCGATTTCTGCTCATTCATCCATTGGTAATTCCTCATTTTATCTGTTGCTTTGTGTCCATCACTTCCGTTTCACCATAGCCTATATCCCCCGTCCACTAGTCGTGTGTTTGATGATACGGGTTGTCCGCCTCAACATTTTCAGTTCCAACATCACTTACAAATTGGGGACCTGTCCTCCATGTGCCTTGGCCCCCCTACACACTTCTTTGTTTCTGTACAATGGCGCTTGTGTATTTCAAAGCCAAAGATTATCGCATATTAACGTTTCCCCGGGGTGCTATAATAATCTAGGATCAGACGTTTTGGTGTATACTTTAAAAGTGACTTCTTCCCGACGTCGCCAACGTGTGCTTTACCGAAAACCGCCCATTTCGTCTGACCTCCACCAGTTTCCCGCTACTTGCCAATGAAAACCTGCTTTAACTCAACCCGGCTCACCCGAACCCCCAGTTACACTGAATGTGAGGACTAGCCGCACTCCTCCTCCCTTGAATCAGTTCCCCCCATTTTTCTGACGTTATTTATTTATTTTCGATGTACCCGTTCTCCCATTAACGTCCCCCTGTGCCTTAGCCGAGCTCAACACGTCGACAATAAGTTATTCACTGGCAGGACGGCGCCTAACGGCCCGGCCGATCATGTATGCAAGTGAGTCTCCTGTGATTAATGATAAAAATTGTAATGATTTCTGTATCTATGCACTGGATTCCGAATAGCGGCACATGTTTTTTAGCGATATAGAGTTCGGGCCTGCTTCAGCGCTTTCGAAAAACTTCCAGCAACAGGCAAAGATGCGAATAGGGAAACTCTGACCCGAAAAATTACAATGTTGCAGGCTAATGTTAAATGAGCGGTGACTTCTTCCCTCACCTGAACGCCGTGTTGTTGAGTGGATTGCAAGCACTCAAAGTTGGCGGCGATGCCAGGGATTCATTACGATTGTCTGCCATTTTATTGAACGGTAGGGGATCGTACCCGAATGATGTCAACCCGGTTCAGAGGGCCTATCTTTGGCGGCGATCGAGCAGCAGGAGAAAGATGTGGCCAGGCTTGCGACTGCTTCAGCGCTTCGGGTATGCCCTGAACTTTAATGTCATTAACAAAAATTAGGTCATCTTCGAGCAGTCCGTGGCCCACCAGAAGCTGGCCAACATCTATGACGAGTACGCCAAAGTGTTGTCCAGCATCCTGATCGAAAAAGAGGTTCGTAGTCTGGAAATCTTCAGCGAGTTCTTGATTTAGCGACCCATTTTCGAATGGAAGCATATGAAGCCATTTTTCGCGGCCGTTCTATACATGTTGGACCTCAACGATGTGCGAATGGAGCTTCTTTTTGGTCCTCTGAAGGAATTGATGGCTTATTGTCACGCCAACGATATTTTAAGAAAAGGTTGGTTCTCTTGCTGTTAAAAATATTCTGCTCAGAGCTCTACTCGGATGCTTTTTTGCCGGCCATCGGGAAACTCGTGTCGTCGCTGCTCTCTATGATCTCGTCTGATCGACTGAGTAATTCATCGAGGTCGATTGTTGCTTGTTTTTATATGATGAGTATATTTTAGGATCGATGCTTTATTGTTACTACAGCGAGTATTGGCGGAATCTCCCGTTGAGACCGTCGCAATGTTTTTGCCCGGCACATTGATGAAGTTGACCGAGCTGATGCGCCTATCGAGTCTGGCGGCGGGAATTTTGTGTAACTGTACCAGAGTAAGCATTCTTTGTGCTTTGTCATTTTGTTTTCAGGCGTATTCACTGACAATCACTAGAGCGTTGAGCAACAAAGAATGGGAAACTGTGGCTGGTGACGATGAGGCTGTGGCGAGCGCAAGGTTTGTCTCATGTCAACGTCCAGAGTGAATTTCTTTACAGCTCCGCTTCGGTATCAAAGCCGGACGCAAAGGAAGTGAAGGATTTGCGAGTCAAAAGAGACAAGAAATGGTTTACGGAGACCGCGGAGAAAGTTAGAACTTTGGTACGTTTTGATATGCCAAACTTTTGAAGTTCCTTAGATATGCCTTTCCTGCCCAGTACTTGCCAGCCATGAATCGGAACTAGTGCGAGGCGAATTATTGACGTTCCTTGATGAGTTGAGACATGCTGAGAAGCCATTTGGTGACTCTCTGCTTCGGCTACACGTGGATATCGGCTCGATTTTGTTGTCTGATTCGTCAACTAGGTAAGAAAGTTGCTGGGAAAAGCTCCGTCATCATGTGTTCGATTCTACGTTTGAATCAATTTAATGATTGGTTTTAGCGTTCAAAATCAAGCGCGCGGCTTCCTTGACAGCGTCCAAGCGCGTCACGAAACTGCCTATTCTGCATATGTGTATGAGCTCCTCAAAAAGGTAAAGTTTTCATTTTTAGGAGCTATTTTTTCAGATCCAATGCGAACTCGCTGCGGCTTCTAACGGCGAGGAAAATGGCGCAAGTCCGGGAGCGCCCGATGCCAATTTTATGGTTAACCCGAGGCTTTTAGACCAGGTAATCATTGATTTCCAGTCAACGAGTTGTACCTTTCAGGTGCTGTCGCTTATTCGCATCCTACCCGACCTCCGCGTCCTTTGCTTTTCCGGCGCCTTTCGTGGCTTCCTGCAAGCGATTTTCTCGCTGATTGCTGTCGATACTGCGCGTCTGCCTGTCGTGTCATGCGAGATTGACAATTTGCAAGGTATGGTCGAATATTTATTAAAAATACCCTTTATTCCCTTAAATACGGCCTAATAAGTTACGAACGCAATAATTATCGATGCAACTGAATCACTCGGCTTCGGGATGTTTAGTAGTGTTCGTGGGAGTCGGAGTTCTAAAATCGGATATAGAATTGGTTGGATTGGCAGGGGAAATTTTTGCTTATCTTGGGACCCACGACATTGGTTTCCTCGAACTTCGGGACTTCCTCGACGACCTTGGCAACCTCTTGCTCGGCGGAGACGACAGCGGACTTCTCCTCGGCCGATGGGACGAAGGTGATCTGGGGCAGGGCCGACTCGCGCTGGGCCTTCTCGATCTGGTCGGCGAGCTTGATCTTCAGGTTCTGGAGGGCACGCCTCTTGCGTCCTCCGCCGCAGCCGCAGCATCCACATCCGCAGCCGCAGCAGCTAAAGTGGAATCAAGATATTGCCTATGTTTTTGTTGCTGCTCACCATGGTCGGCAGCAGCAGCAACGGCAGCATTTGCAGCAGGTGCAGCATTGGCAGCACTTGCAGCAGCGGCAGCAGCAGCATTTTCTAGAGAGAGGATTAGGTTTTTGGTTGAGTGTTCTGGCTCACGGCCGGCAACAGCAGCAGCAGGGCCGGCAACAGCAGCAGGGGCGGCAGCAGCAACAGCAAGGTCTGCAGCAGCAGCAGCCACATCCGCATCCGTTCCTCTTCAGTCGCACGCCAGTCTCGTCGGTCTCGGTGAGAGTATCGATGGCGGTGGAGCTCTAGAAGGCGCGAAATGAATTTTTAGATGATTATGACGCCCCCCCCCCCCCCCCCCCCCCCCCCCCCCCACCCCCCCCCCCCCCCCCTCCCCCCCCCCCCCCCTTTCCTCCCCCCCCAGGGGGGTTTTTTTTTTTTATTTTTATTTTTTAATTTTTTAAAAAAAAATTTTTTTTTTTTTTTTCCCAAAAATTATTATTTTTAAAAAATTTTCCCCCTTTTTTACCCCAAAAAAAACCCCGTATTTCAAATTTTTTTATTTATCTGCCGCGCAATTTGTGTTTTTAGTTGTAGAAATTGGTGGAAGCGTTTTGAAGGTATTTGGAAAGAAGAAAAAACTTACAGTAAGCGCCAATTCGGTGGTCGTCTCAGCATTTTCGTCCCGAAGCGCGATGGCAGTGGGGGCCGCCTAAATGTTATTTTTTCAATCGCTGTATACAGGTTTTTATAGAAATAAAATCGGCCCTCAAATTTGATAAAAAGAATTTTTCAATCGTTCTTTGGCTCTGGAGGTTAGAAAGTTTTTGGGGCTAAAGTTAGCCTTCGATATAATAAAGCGGTACCTGAATATTGTGCACCAGGGCCAGCACCAAAAACAGGCCGCTGGAGAGGAGGAGGCGCTGAACGGGGCTCATGCTTGCGAATTGGTGGATGGCTGGAATGCTGATGGTATCACGGCATCCACCGATGCCTAAATACTCGGGCGGGGATGGGTCGAGGGCGCGGCGCGGAAGGCGCGACACCTGCCAACGCGTGACCCCGGGCCGCTGACATCCGCACGCGCACCCGCGCCCGGGCTTGTACGCAACATTTCGGGCGATCAGTGAACCCAACGCGTCTGGGAATCTTGGCGTACCCAGAGAGCGGCCGTCTGGGATGGGTGGTTGACCTGCTAGAATACGGTGCTTGGGAAGTAGTGGTTTTCTGTGCTAAGAACTGTTTTAAACTACCAGATTTCGTTGACGAACTCACGAAAAACTGCTTTTTATTAAAAACAAATAAAAAGCCTTTATTCTCGCTCCTTTCCAACAGCTTTCCATGGTGTAAAAATAACCCCAACCCGTGGTTTCTCCGGACCTAAAGAAAAGCTTGTTTTTCTGACGCCCTGTAGTTAGAAAAAAATATGAGGCTTTTGAAATTATAGCCCTCTTTCAGCATTCCTCCGTACACTTCCACTAAAACACGGCATCACCCTGCAATGGCTTCACCAATTTTGCGGCGAACTTTTAACCCGCGAGGCCGAAGAGGTTAAAGTTCAACTACCGCGTTACTACTACCTTTTTAGGTACTCATCCTTCTATCGACGATGATCAACGATACTTCGGCTAGCGAGCAGACCGGCATCACGCTTTTTATGTGCACTGTCGGCTTTCAAGTTCAGGTGAGCGGATTTTATCCAAAATACCGGCCTGGTAGCTAAACTAAAACTAAGTTAAATCGTTTCAGCAGCTCCACATCGAAGGCCAGGACGACAAACTGGCCATGTGCGCAGAAACGGTGCAGCATTGGTTGGACCGCCGGGAGCTGATTGAAGCCCAGCTCGACGTGCATGGTCTAAAAGGTCTAAAAGGTAAGGACCCTTCTTGAACTCAAGCATTCCGTCCAGATATCGCAATGACCAACTCGCGACCCGTCGCTTCGTACGTAGCCCAACTGGCGGCATTCGGGACATTGGTGGCAGCGATTGGGGATGTACATCGACGGGATACGGTAGTTTTACATTTAAAAAATTAATTTATTCATGTTTCCAGCTCCTGTCCCGCTCGTTCAGCTCGCTACTGCTTGCCACAAATGTGCAGAATATTGTTGTTTCGACGGCCGCCGACTTGGCGATGGCTCATATAGCCGAAGTGAGAACAATCTTTCTTGCAAAATGTATATTTAGGCCTACGGTCAGTCCGTTGCAACACTGCTCCAAGCCAGGGCTGCATTAGTCGTAAACAGGCAGAAAATAATTTCGGGAACTTACCTTTTTTAGTATGTGGCTCTGGGACTCGAACGTCCTCTCAGCAGCCGCCCCTCGTCTCTTCACCGCCATCGTCTCCAAAACGAACGACCCGGCCATGTATCTGGAGACGAAGCGGGTAGCCATACAGCTGCTGAAGACACTCGACAAGTACAACGAGGTCAGCAGCTCAAAACTACTGAACACCGTTTTTAGGAATTTTCCTACGCAATCCTCTGCTCATTGTCAACGTATGTTGAAGCGCTGGAACGGTGGTTCCCTGAACCTCGGGCAAATGAGGATGAAGCCCAAACGCCCAGTTCTAAGTGATTTGTTTTGGCAATAACTAAAAAACCATATTTAGCGAGGAGCCAATGGAACTTCCAGACGACGTAGTGAAAATGAGCCTAGATGATGAGATGCCGGATTTCAAGAAAATTCCCCCACCCTACCATGTGAAGCTCACGGAGGAAATTTTGCAAAGGTAGGTTTCTTGGCGTCATGAAACACCCTTTTCTTGCAGAACAGCAACGCTACTTTCCTCTGACCACTTCCACGTCCGCGTCAGGTGTCTTCGGCTGCTTACGGCATCGCTAAAGGTTGTGGCCGGTTGCGATGATGTTTTGCTGCCAATGGTTTTAATCCGCTCCTCGTTGTAACCCTGGTTTTAGGTCCATCAGAACTGGGCGGCACTGAAGAACCGTTTGGTCGACGATAATCTGAACGTGCGGATAGAGGCGGTCAAGGTATTTATAATACTGTGTACTATATCAATTTGTTCTAGGCCCTGAAAATCTACTGTCTTACTGCCAAATCGTTTGTGTATCGACGCGTGTCCGAGGGCGGGTGGCCAAGGTTGACTAGGTATCCTTAGTGGCTTGCTAGTCAATTAAATTTCCAGCTGGGCCGAGAAACAATTGGGCCGATCGCAATACACGCAATCCGAGACGTATCGCCTCCTCTACGTCATCCTTGACAGGTACCATGGCAATTTTATCGTCGTTTTTGTCGCGCTTGGAATTGTTGCGATAGCGTTCCTTTTGGCATATATGACCGTTCACTTTATAGCTCGTACCCGATATGGCGCGCCATCGGCTATCGAGCCGAACCCGACGCCCCGGCCGTGCTTCCCTTCTTGCGAAAAGTTGCGGCCTGTAGTCAGGTTTGGTGATTTACCTTTTGGCTATTGTAGTTTTAGTGCCCCCTCGAAGCCCGTCGAAAAGCCGAAGAATCGCTCGAAGCCATCTCCAAAATTACGAGTAGCACTGACTGACCTCTCCCCCCTCCCCCCTGTACGTTGTGAACTTCTTACCGGTTACCCAGATAAATCTTTGAAAAGATTTTTTGTTCCCTAATGAAACGGAGGCTCCATAACTTTCTATGCGATTATTTTGTACTTTCCTGATATTTAAGACATACTTAAAGATGAGTGTTTTCGAGAAGGTTTTGCCATACTTTTTCGCGGGTACCGTCGTGCGCGGGTTCGGCCGTGGCGGCAAAGAACTGGGCTGCCCAACGGGTCAGTTATGGCAAAAATGCGTTTTTCTGACCTATGACGAATACGAAAAGCCGAAATTTAGCGAATGTCGACGATGAGGCCGTCAGCAAACTCCCGAAGGGCATTGAGCACGATGTCTACTACGGGCTCGCCAGGGTCGATAATGGCCAAGTCCACGACATGGTGATGAGCATCGGCACAAACCCGCAATACAACAACGAGAAGCTTACGATCGTATGGCCCAGCCTTCCGAAATCATTTCTCTTTCAGGAGGTCCATCTACTCGCTCAGTTCCCCTCGCAATTCTACGGGTCTCGCATTGACGGTTTGATTCTCGGCCACATCCGGCCGGTGCGCAAATTCGAATCACTTGGTAGGCCATTGCAAATAGGCGGAAAACCGGGCATGTGTTCAGACGGGCTGATGAAGGCAATTCAGGACGACATCGCTTTCGCGAAAGAAAAGTTGAAAAGCATCGATCGCACCGCCCTCGTTGCTCAATATTTTGTATAACCAATATGTTAGTCCTTATCTTTATAAGTGTGAGAAATTCATTGTAAAATTAACTGGGTCCCACTCATAACCCAAAACTAACAGGTTGTGATCATCGTGCATAATAATTCTTCATTGACATAATAAAAATTTATTCCGTGCAAAGCAGACCAACCTTGACCGCATGAGTATCTAACGATGATTGATAATACTGACTCGACTAAACAAAGAAACAAAAACCAATTTCATGTTTCACAGGAAAAATTTAAGGCAGTCAGGCGTAGGGAGGAATTGTGTCGAACAAAGGAAAGAATTAATGCGCAAAGTTACGTATAATGGATGATATGGCGACAGTCGATCTTGTGACGAGCGTTGGCCTCATCATCGAAGGTTGTAGGGCCGGACACCCTGGAAAAACGGATTGAACGAGGGCATGGACATTTGAAGATAGAAGAAATATAAAAGTTACCTAGACGGTGCCGGCCGACCCTGGAAAGGGCTCATGGGTGCCGGTGCTGCCGCCGAGGAAGGTATGCGACTCGACGCCGCCATGACCATAGCCGCGCGGGCCGAACAGGGCGCCATAGCAGCGGTTGCAGTACGGACGGCCTTCGTGCTGAAAATAAGAATAGATTGAATCCAGGTAGGCTGACCAGCAAGCAAACACTCTATAATTGAAGCTCCACTAATTGCGCCGATTTTGTCAGGAAATTACCATAGCAAAAAGCAAAAATCAAACCTCAGAGTGCGAACCAGCGGTGAGCGTCTTCTTGCAATTGTCGTTCTCACAGCGCAGACACGGCCGGTGCCAGTCTTGACCGAGGGAGGTGACGCGCTCGGCTGGAAAAACGATTCTTGAAAATCCAATCAAAATTTACCAAAATACACCGGCTTCGTGCAACGAGGACAGTTGGGCATCTTTCAGCGAGGGGTTCGGTTGAAACCTGAAAATAGCGAGTGGCTCGTGAAAACAAACATTCCAACAATAAAGGGAAGACGGGTAAGAAAAAAGGCAACGGAGAAGCGGGTGGTGCCCGCATTGGGAGGTCGAAGAAGAACCCGGCGGCGGCAAGGCGCTTGGTTTTGTTTATTTTTCGTATCAAATCAACCACATTTTTGGGGCGCCGGTTGGGCGGGCCGTTTTTTTCCCCCCACCCAATTTAAAAAACCCCCCCCCCCCCCCAAAAAAAAAAAAAATTCCCTCTCCTTCTTTTTTTTCCCCTCAAACCAAAGCTTAAATAATAAATTGCCTGGCTGAGCAGGCTTACTTGAGCTTCAAATTGTCTTACGAGAACAAAAGGCAGGAAGGAATTTTGGGCACGGGCTAATTTTATGGCTAAGCGCTTTTTTGGATGATCATAAATCAAAAGGAGATAATTTAGGACAATTCAGAGAGGGCAACTGCCGTGATGGATTCACAACTTCGCCGAGTTAAAAAAAAAAGTTTTGAAAAACTTGTAGTCAAAATCCGGACTGCCCCTTCGCGATCCCATCCAGCGAGAGTTCCATTTCCGAAACGACACCAAGTCGTACATCGGAATATAAAGTACTACTAATAAATAACAGCAGAATTTCAAAAGTTCGCAAAAAGCCAGAACTAACGCAAAAATATGCAAAAGCCGTCCCGATGGGTTACGGTCACGTTTGGGGAGGAGCCCCTGGCGGCAGGCGGACTGGGAATGCGGCTTGCGGGCATTGTTAGGTTCCGGGAAAGCCGATTGGGGCAACCGATTGACGGGAATATTATGGAAATCGAAGCGCGAGTCGGTTTTTCAATTGAATGAGAGTGCTGGCACGCTGGGCGGCTCGTTTTTCGGGTTGTCGGTTTTGCGATGTTTGGGGAACTGGTATGGGCCGGGGCTGATCGTCGCCAGATAGGCTTTGGTCGGCGAGGGATTTGGAGGGGGGCGATCGCAGATTGGAACAACGCCGCGGCGCGCGCGGGACATAAAGTCCGAAAAACATTTCAATAAAGCTGGGCGTGTGCGAAATGACGTGTGCGCGTTGGATCGGGATTTTTGGGATTATCCGGGGCTGGAATTTTGGGCCGGGCGGCTGGCGGGAGGTGGGGGCAAACGAGATTGGTTATCATGTTGATGAAAGGAATAGATAGGCGCGATAATTTGGCAGGTTTTAAGGGGCTGCGGAATTGTGGGAATTTTAGGAATTTGAAAACATAAAAAGTCGCAGCAAACGTACGAGAAGCTCATTTGGCACGATGCAAGTTGTAGGTTTCTGCTTTTATAACAAATTAAAAGTAAGAAGTAAAAAAAGTTAATTAACTCGTAGACCTAGACTAATTCTCGGCTTGAAACCAAGCTAGGTGTATTATAACTATAAAGCAAGGATAAAAATTTAAGATGTAGCCCGTTTTTAGCCGCAAAACCCGAGAAAAAGCCACTTTTTTTCGTCGCTAGCCTCTAAATTAGATTCTAGCAAAACCCGTTGCAAAAGCGCCACCACCACCACGTCTGGCCACGCCGTGTATGTCTGGCTGGCGAGGTGCGCGAGAAGCCCCAGGGGCTGCGCGTCAGCTGTCACTTTTCGTCTCCGCCCAGGCCCAAATAGTGCCCGGGATTTGCCACATTTACGCATACACACGGCCATCGACACTAGGTGCGCGCAGTTAGCGGCCAGCAGCTCGCCGTGTCACCCATCTATCAGCCCTGTCGACAATGGGGTGTGCCTGCGCCTTGGATATGTTTGAGCCCTCGGGGGGTATTTGGGCAAATACGGGCGGACGTGAAAATATTTAGGCGTCTGGGAAGGCGTTGGACGGTGATGATGGCAAATAAATAAGCACTAAAGACGTGAAAACCTAAAAAATGAGCCATTAGAACAATTAGAAAAAGATTCTACGACATCTGCCGGCGAGTTTCAAGTTTTTTGGACTCGTTGTTTTTAAAAAACAGCTTCCGTTCAAAAACGCCATAGGAATCTAGCGAAAATCCTGTAGAAATCTATCCATAGATGATATCGCTTTTTATATGCAAACGAAAAATTAAGCGGTTAAAATTAGTCGTGAAAATCCGGGATTTAGGATTTAAAAAAGTTTCGTATCCTAAAAACTTCAAAAAAATTTTTGATCCAAGATCTTGAAAAGGCCAAATTAGGCCAAACATGCACTCTAACGAAAACTGTAAACCATCCAAAAACCTCTTTTCCGTTCAAAAACACCCAAAAAACAATAACAATTATTTTGAATATCCAATTTTCGTCATGGCAAAAGATTCCCGCCAAAATATTTAGGAAACGGGGCATAACCCAAAAAACAAGGAGGAAAATAGGGCAATGTTCTGCCCAAAATTGGCTAACACTTCGCGGCAGACGCTGTCGAAATTGGGGTGTTTACGCCCAAAATGGGGCCCACTGGTGGATCTGTTTTTGGCGGGGGGCCAGCTAGCAGCGGGCAGGCAGGCCGCGCAGTGCTTTTTGAGACTCACGAGGAGGGGAGGGGGTGGTGGAGAGGAGGATGGGATGGGCATTCAAACGACAGAGGGGGGATGCCCTCTGTTAGTTGGACACTATTCCAAGGACAGGGAGACAGGAAAAGGTGCTCGCCCCTCACCCTATATTGCGCCCTCTTTGTCCCTAAATAGCGCGCCTCGGTCCCTGGCGCGTGTCTTGGATTATGGGCATGTGATCTCCAGGGATCGGGATCAAAAATCAAGTTTTTAGGGGATGCGAAAAAGTTTATAAAGCGAAACTTTTCAGCATAGGGTGGGAAATGACAGAATTCCGGTAGGCTGTGGCGCCGAATTTGTTGCGTAAATAGGCGTCCGTTGGTTTCCTAGCCTTTCTGAACGTTTTCTGAAAATGCTAACTCGACGTATTGAACCGGATCCCTAAAAAGCTTTGTATTTTGTTTCTCTTTTTCCGAAAAAAGCGACCACAGGTGAGGTCCAGTGGAGCGCCTCGTCCTCCAGCATTCTGGTACGATACGCTGCTCGGCACGGGTTTACCCTGGGCCCCTCTTGGATTTCGGTGTATGTTGCCTTTTTGGCATTCGCTTGTCCCTTTAAAGGTTCAAAACACAGAAATGAATTCAAACAAAGTTTTTTGGGCAGAGCTGTCTTAAACAGAGTGAATCGCGTCGCCGACGAGCCGCGATTTTGCGAGACTCAAAAAACTTGTCAAAGCAAAGCGTCATTTTTTTGTGATTTCCTCAAAGTTGTCGTTCTGTAAAGTACGCTATCCCGTAAGTACGAAAACTGTGCGCGCGTACTTTGCATATCGCGCCCAACACTTCAACGATCAACAAACTACGCGGGCGCGTGCCGGGATTGCTGTGAGCTCGCGCTAAAGTGCATCCATCGAGTTGTGGATTTGGTGGGGGAGGATAAGCCCCGAGGGCTGTGGCTACTGCTCAAGGCTGTGGGTGATGTTTGAGGCCGAGGACTGTAGAGAAATGGGGGGTGTCGTAAAGTTGCGTTTTCGCCTTTAGGGTCTGCGGGTGGATGTCTGGAAATGGCGACATTGGCCGGGCGGCGGTAGGCTGAATGGGAGGAGCTGAACAAAATCGAGTATCTTTAGAAAGTACAGGGTGGGCCAAAAAAAAGTGAAGTTTGGGTCAAATTGTCTCGCGAACGGAAACGAATCCTTTAGCTTTGCATTACCTAAATGCTTAAATAATTGCTGGGTATTATGGTGGAAGTTTTAACACAAGTTATTTTTTAAGATTATTACAATTTGAAAATTCTGGGCTTTTTAGCCATTTTCATAAATTTTGACAATTCTGGTTTTCTAAAGCTTGGACAGTCCCTCTTTTTGCATAAACCGTTCATTTGCCTAGCTATTAAGCCAATCCGAGACCAACACAAAAATCCCCGTCATTCGGCCTCCGCGCCGACTCGCCCAGCGCCCCGCGCGCGACGCCACACGCCGCCCATTTTCCGATGCTCCGGCACCTCTACGGCACCGCGCCAAGGAATCAGGCAAGTTTTAATGATATTACAGAACATTAATTCGGTTCCAGTCGAAAATACACCCATCCGTGCTCCAGGGCCCTTCGACGACAGCTGCGATCGCGATCGAGGTAATTAGCGGCGTTTCGAACCCGGTACTGAACCGTTAGCAGGGGGATATCGAATTTTGTTTGACGTCGTTTTTGACCGGAAAGGCCGCAATTTTCGAACATTTTCTAACTTTTAAAATGTTTATTTAACTCAAAATGTGTACAATGCTGGAAAAATGGTTTGTCTCACGGCCCGTGCGTAATTACTTAAAAAAAACAGCTCTCTCCCTCCGCTAAGAGTTCAATGCCATAGCTGGGCCTCCCCCGCTAAAGGAGAAGTACCAAATTTTCGTCTTTCAGAAGTTCAGCCGACTTCCAAGCTCAAGGGCTGTCGATGCCGGATTTTTTCGCAATGCAAAGGTGACAAATTTTTGAAAAATTTTGGGGCTATGATAATTTGGTCAAGAAATAGTTTTTTTTTTTTTTTTTTTTTTTTTTTTTTTTTTTTTTTTTTTTTTTTTTTTTTTTTTTTTTTTTTTTTTTTTTTTTTTTTTTTTTTTTTTTTTCCCCTTCTAGATCCGAACGGCTACAGAAAAGGGCGGCAACTCTAAGGAGGAGGATGAAGCCGCAGGATTGGAAGAAAAGGAAGGGCCCGGCACGCTGGGGCTGCGCATCGAATGCCGGGTTGGTATTGGCGGCTACGCGGGACTCCGGGCTGACAGCAGCCATTTAATGCGCTTGCTTCAGAAATGTCGTCAGACGGTCGACGGGCCGGATGATTGTCTCGTGCTCCACGCTTCAGATCATTCGCCGAGGTGGGAGGTTTTAAAGGGACGGAAAAGTGAGGTTTGCCGCCACGCAGGACGCAACTGATCCGCAACGCGACCATTGGGGCCATGATCACGCAATCTAATCGTGGGCACGGCGAAGCGATCAGACATACAATTCATCCGCGCTCATTCCAGAAAGCGCTACGTGTGCACAAAATGCGGAACGCAGGCCAGCCGCCTCATCGACCTCGAGCCCCACCATCGTCGATGTCCATTCCGGGGTGGCGGCGCCGGACGCGTCCTCGACAGGTTCACATCCCTTCTCTATACCTTTAAAAAGACGGCCAAAGTTATATAATTTTTTCTCTATGGTCTATTAAAGTCGCGCGCGCAACACGCAGCGCGCATTAGATTTCTCTTGCGTAGCGTATTACGGCTCCTGGGATTGGACTGTTAGGGGGAGGCGGGCAATTTCAGCACTTTGATAACGTTTTCCAACTTTTTGATTGCTAAAAACTCATAAACATTTTTGAAAAAATGTTGAAAAGTAGAAAATTTTGACCTTTTTGTTCATTTTATACACATTTTTGAAGAAAAAGCCAAGAACTTTCGAAAATTTGATACTTTTTAATGAGCCGTTTCTGGCTAAAGACTGTAGAAAAACTATGAAATAGTTATATTTGGTTATAGGGCCGTACCGATTACTTGGAAAAATTTGTTTTCTTCGCTAGTAACTCCGCCCCCCCCCCCCCGCCAACAGGCCAGTACCGGGAGTCCATCCCAATTAAAAAAGTCGATATTATAGCTTCACGGTCCCTTTAATTTCCGCAAATCCCAGAGCCGACCACAGCCTCGTCAACACGTGGTACCGCGAGTTCACGCAGTGCTTTGCCGAGCCCGACCACGAGTGCTTCATCAACGGTAAAGCCATGAATTTTTGCCACCTCCTATACCTCACCCATGCTACCGTATCCTAGCCTCAATTCCGCCCCCATTTTCCAGGGCTGATGATCATGAAGGAGGACGAGATGGCCCGCGCCAAGTCGACCCCCGTCCCCTCCACTTAATATCAACGCCAACCAATACAAAAAAACTCGATTGTCTATGCTACGACAAATTATTATTACGTCGATTCTTGTGTGCATTCTGTGATTACATATTACGCGGGGTTTTTTAATAAAGTGGTTTCATTTTGTTGTTCATTTTTAAACAATTTTGTACTATTTTAAGCAATTTAAACGGGTTTTTAAACGATTTTCTAATCAGTTTTGATATGTTTTCATTTTCTTTATGACGCTACGGCATTTAAAGGTATCGAAAAGCGAGGTGGTTGGGTTTTTACGTGCTGAAAAATTTGTCCGGGAATGAACTGATGACGTAGCGCAGGCGTCCACGTAATTTGATGAAGTCAAGGTCCGCCTCAAATCATGCGTCGGCTGGAATTCGATGACTAATAGATTGGGGGCAAGGAATGCCCGGCGGGCAATCGGATCCGCTTATCCAACCAGACCGATAGCCCATTCCGGATCCCCCCTCAAATCACTAACCATCAGCATGTCCAGTCCGTACGCGACGCATCGATTCTTTTTTAGACGGCACGTTCAAAGTAGCATTCCGTTCTCGTTTTTGTGTTTCAACTCTTTGTGCAAATGAATAAATGCATAAAATTAAACCTAGAAAAATTCCTAAAGCTCCGCATCGGCGCCCGAAATTCGAAAATGGGCGGATAAAACGGCTTTTAACGTCCCTCGCGCCGCGCGCTATCCGAAATATTATCCTTTTTTTTGCGTAAAAAAGCCCAATACTTACTTCAACGTCTTTCCTTTCGTTTAACAAGATCGCTACCCATTTCAGATGAAGCGACTGACTTTTTGCCTATTGCCACTCCTCCCCCTGGCGGCCGGCTTTCGGATAAAACGCGAATTTATGTACGTAAACGCCGACAACCCATCAGATGCCGATTGTTTTCAGGTTAGCGGTTTTGGAAAAACACCAGTAATTTCTTGCCTAAAGCTTCAAGCTCTAAGCATCTGTAAAAAAGTTGCGTAAAAACTGACGAACTTAGGTTGAAGCCCAAATATTCAATTTTTGCCTGATTTTCTGGTTTTTAAACATTATTTTCTTGTTTCGCAGGATGAGTTAGATATCTTGGTATACTTTACAGTCCCCGTAGCTCAAAGAAAAGTTGAAAAGTTGAGTTTAAAATATTGCCAGGTCGGCTGGGGGCTTTATAAAGTTTTTTGGCTCTAAAAACATACCGATTAGATTGAAAACCATTAAAAATTCCCCTAATTCCAGCAATGCAACGAAAAATACGTGAGCGACTTTGAGTACAGCTTCAACATCTCCACCGACGACTTCTACGACTTTCCCCTCCATCCATTGGTGCGAAATCCGGAGGAATCTGAGGAAAGAATAATGGGGATAGATTCTAGAGCACTCGTCCTATTTGTTGTTCTGCAAATTGGCCAGCGACAAGACGAAATGTTATATGGATCGGTGTAATGACAAGGTATTTCTAAAATAAATATACTTTTCAAAGGATTTAGACATCCGACGTGGTGTTCTCGCCGTCGAATTTCATCTGTGACTTCCGGCGGAAGTTGTTTTTGGAGGTAACTAGGGGAGTTGATGCTCAAAAGTCTCCCAACTTTAGGCCCGTCCCTGCCTTTCCGAAGCGGAACCGATTACGTTCCTAAAATGCGACCAGGAATGCCATACGGCGCTGCACAACGAGAATTCGATACGAAATAATTCGCTGTTTCGGGTGGGGATTTTTCAAAGGTTTAGAAAATATCCTTATTGCCTCGATTCGTAGGCACATTTAAATGATTTTGGAAGCGGGAAAGCCGCGGAGCGCGTCGCGTTTGCATCGCGCTTACCACCCAATTAGAGCGCTAAAAGGTGCCTAAAATCCGAAAAATATCTTGAAATTCAGGTAGAAGAAGTTGACGGCTATGAAGATGCGCTATCGACACTCTGCACATTCCAAAGCTGCTACCTCGATTGTGCACTTCCGGTTATTACCGAGGTATCGGCTATACCACTACTGAATGCCCTCAATTTTAAGGTGTGCAAGGCCGACGGGGCAAAGCTTGCGGCCGATTTGCTGACGACATTTGTGCACTGGCACGCAAACGACATCTACGAATGGTTAGTTAGATTTAAGTTTAACTAGTTTAGCAGTAGTTAGAGTTTTTGTACAGTTTTTTTAGTTTTTGGAGGTCTTAAAGTTATATTAATTACGTTGTAACTTAAGGCTACGCCGCTGAGCGCAATAGGTAAAAGTGTACAGAGGAGCGCCCCGTTGTGGTAGGTGAAGTACGTTGCGCTACTCAGCCCGCTTGTATCGTAAACTTCCAATTTTGACGGTTTTGGGAGCGTAATATGCGTTTAAAAGTGTCTTTAAGTCTTTAGAAGCCTGGTAAGCAAGAAAATTTTTAAAATAAACTGTGCTAGCTGCCCATTCATCGCTAATAATTGAGTTGGTTTTTAATAACTAAATTTAACTCCAGGCACGTCGTCTCGGACCGACTGCCGACGCTGCCGGCCAGCTGCTCCCGGCTGGCCGATCACAAACCGGAAAAACCGGCCGAAATCCAGCAGGCCGTCAAGTTATAGCGAAAATTAAAATAAGCTCAAATAAATACAAAAACTGTATAAAATAGGTCGAAAATCAATAGAAATACAATATAAAAATCTTTATTCCATGTGGCAGTCGACGGACAAGATAATAATACATAGAAGATGGATAAATAGATAGATGGCAGAGGGGATACGGTCCAGAATAAAGCTGATAATGAATAAATAAAGAAATCGGAGGGCCTAGAATTTTCGGGGAAAGCTAGATAGGAAAATATACGGTATAAAACGAAGAATTTTGGGTGTTTTCGGCCTTGGCAACGTGCCAAATCTCCTAAAAACACAAAGTAAATGTGAAAGAACGGACACTGGGCGAAAAAGTGCGTCGGGATCAAAGAAAGTATGCGAAAAAATGCATAAAATACCCATCACAGGTTTTTTAGGGGTTGGAAGGGTGTAGATTAGCAGTCAATTAGCCATAAGATACGGTAGGTTGGTCAGATTATGAAAATGACATGGGAAAGTTGGTCTTGGAGTTTTGGATTACATAATAGGGGAGGGGCTGTGAAAGAAAGTGGCATAAAATGCTCTACAAACTATATAAAATATCGTGTTTTGAGGAGGAAAAGAATATATAATGGGACTGCTTTCAACGGTCCTTTAAAAGGGGAATTCACCTCTAGATTTCAGCAAATATTGAGCTCATTATAACGGGTTTTACTTTTCTAAATAGTGAAATCCACCAGATCTCACACCCTTTTGCGTGGCCAATTGGTAATGCTCTCGCTTGTCGCCCACACGACCCGGGTTCGATCCCCGCCCGGTTAAAATCTTTTGCTTTTTACCCAATACTAGAGGTGAATATCCCCTCAACTAATCCAAGGGCCCGGGCGTCTTCCGGCTGCCCAGAATCACCGGCACGACGACGTCGAAATGGTCGAGGTCGAGCTTGAAGAAGTAGCTGCACGTCACCAGGCCGTTTGCCTGAAATTTCGACATTTTTAGTGGGAAAAGCGTCTTTGAAAGCCAAACGAAATCAGGGTTTCCGCTTTTCGGGTGGGTGCTTTTTGAAAAAAATAAACTCGGGATTTTCTTGCAGCACACAACAGCAAAAATAGGGGTGGGTGAAGATGAACCGGAAATTGGACAGTAACGTAAAGGACTTGGATAGGATAGATGGGGGATTTTGTGCACTCTGAAAAATGCGGCGTTACCTTGTCGAGGACATCCGCTCTAATCGCCTAAAAAATCGGGGCTGCTGCTTGATTGAAGCTTTTAAAACCATTTTTACGATTGCATACACTTGTTTATAATTTCTTATATCCATAAAAATACAATTTAAAGGTTTTCCGAAGCCGAAATCGACCTTGTTCCTAGCATAGGTCTCGACAGCTACGCAACACACCAAGGAGGTAATTTGGAGTGCGGCATAGCTGTCGAGACATAGCCGAAATCAGGGGTCGATCTCGCACTTCCCGAACCCCTTAAAAGGGCTCCACAAGGCATAGCTAAGGATTTTCAAAAATTTTTGCCACGATCGCGACACGCAACGCAGGCCCAGAAATCCATTGCGCAATGTAAGCGCGAACCAGCGCGTCGCGTGTCGCGGGCTGCGGCATCATTTAGTGGGAATCCACAGCCACGCCTTGCCGGTCCCTTTAAAAGTACGCGCGACACCTATGACCGACCTGTATACTCGTAGGGGGGAGGTCACTGGGAATTGTAAAGTCGATCACTTTGGTCTCGGGCCCTTTGCCCGGCGCCGCTTTGCAGGAACCCTGGAAAAATTGTTGGGGGTTTTACGGAACGCGCACGCGACGCGCCGTAACGCGTTAGCGCTCCGCTTTTAACGAAACTTACATGTGTATCGACAGCTATCGTAATCGATCGCCGGTCGGACAGGTGGGTCTCGTAGCGATTCCGGGACACGAAATCGATTTGCTGACACAGGGATATCAACACGCAATCCTTGTCCGCGTCCTGAAAGGCAAAATTGAATTGAAAATCGAGCTCTAAAGGGAACAGGAAGGCAAAAGTTCCGCTATTCCGTCAAATTCCATCCTTTTTGGCGCCTTTATTCACCCAGAAATACCTCTCACTCACCCGTTTCCGCCACCGTTTTGGCTTCGTCTTGTTGTCGAGGGTCAGCGTGACTCTCGTGGTTTCGCCTGAAAAAGGCATTTAAGGCATCTTCTACGTTTTATTAACTTAACAATAAAGAATAAAGGAGCTTTAAAAAGCATAAAACCCTAAAAACCCGGCCCACCTGGCAAAAGCCCGACTTCCTCCACCTGCATCGTTGCCGTCAGCATGCCCTTTTTCCGCCCACAACAGCCCCGCAACTATAACAATCGATTACGCCGTGAAAATGAGTTGACTACGCCATTATCCTCTATACACCCCTGTTTCTGTGCGCCACCCTCACCTCCTCTTCCTCGGTGACCGACGTCGACTCGCGCAGATACGGCGCGTCCAGGTTGAG